CTTTTCTTCCTCCAGACCCAGAAAGAGCCCTTTGTTGTGGTTCAAAAATTATGGTTTAAAACCATATAGCCCTGGCTCTGCTGCTCAGTAGCTTTGTGGCTTTGGGAAAGTTACTTCCCTCATTGGGACTGTATTATTAAAAAAATGGGTAGGTAAGACCTTCTAATGCTGTACTAGATTCATAATGTGTGATAATTCCCTCCCCTCCTCCAGTGAGAGAAGATGTGTTATTTTTGTGCAGAAAGATCAGATTACAAAATAAAACAAATCAAAACTCAGAGTATTAGCATTCCCAGTGGTCATAAATTCAACTGAAATGACAATAATTAGTACTATTAATTGAGCTGTTACTCTACATCCTGTACAGTGCTATGAATTTTGTTGTCTTGCCACATTTAACCATTCCAAGAATTCTTCCCAAATCAGGGAGATATCATTGCCCCCAATATAAGGGTAAGAAAATCGAGGCTCACAGAAGTTAAATGCGTTGTTCACTGTCTTCAGTGAGCAGCTTCCTGGCTGTATCAGAGAGTTTGCAGCAAATTTCTTATGTAAGGAGGGAGCTGAGGGCACAGAGGGTGTGTTCCTCACACTATAAAGTCCCTCATTCTTCCAGTGGGTCTCTCAGCATCCAAGTATTTACTTCGGCAGTCAACACCTATGGTTTTGCTTATTATTTTGATTTGTCCATGGCCTTGGTCCTTTGTGCAGCCATATTTTTTTCCTGGCTTCAGGGCCCAAGGCTTATCTTTATTTGCATTAGAATCACCCAGAATATTGATATGATTCTTTTCAAGAGAGTGAGCATTCCTACACACTGCTGGCTCCAGGTAGCCAAAAGGGCTTGACCGGGCAGACTCCAGCACTAATGTAACACCCATGCCCTTCCCTGCTGTCCCCAGCCCCTTATTCATTCACCATCAGCCTAGCAAAGCTACTCAGAAACAAAAGAACCAGATCATCCCACAGTTAGTTATGAGCCAAAAGAACCAGATCATCCCACAGGCAATCGCAGCAGCAGTAATTGTGAGGCAGTAATCATCAAACAATCTTTGTGCCCTTGAGGGAGAAGGGGACTAAAGGTTCTGCCTGCTTGAAGAGAAGAGCAGGCCTCCAGACACATAGGATGTTTCTGGAAAGTAGCAATGGGTAGTATTCCAGCCCCCACATGCAGCTCCTCCTGAGGCATCAGGAGGCAAGAATACAAGGGATGAGATAAAATTTCCCCTTTAACTGGAGATTGAGGGTGATTAGCCACAGGAAGTCCCAGAGGGCTCTCCCAGGAGCTATCTCTAGGCTTCATAAAGTATATCATTAGCTAGTTTTCATATTTGGAGGAAAGGACAGGAGAGTTTTGGAAAATGTCGTCTACCATACCTCCTGTGTTGGGCACCAGCTAAGCAGAACCACAGCAAAGCACAGCAAAGAACTAGGTGCTCCAGCTCACTTCCTACTCTGGGGACATAGTTATGCAATCATTCATTCATTCATTCATTCATGTCTTCCATCCACAAATCTGCTGAGGATGCAGCATACATCAGACACTGTTTTAGGAAATAAGACAGGCTGGTTTCTGCTCTCATATAGCTACATTCTAGTGGGTAGGGAGAGATGATCCATGAACAAACCAAATAATTTCATAGTGTGAAAAAATAATTCCATATAGTGATATGGGTTCTGAAAAAGAATCACACAATAGACATATAGAGTGTCAGGGTTGATGAAGGCTAATTCAGATTGGGTAACCCACAAAGATCTCATGGAGAAGGCCTTTAGATAGAGACCTGAATCCTGACACAGGAACCGGAATACTGTGAATACATAAGCTCAGACATGGGATGGGTGTTCTTGGCAGAGGGATAGCTCAGACAAAGGCCTGAGTCAGAAAGGGTGTTGGTAAAACAGGAAGAAGGTGGGGATTGAAGCAGAATGCTGAGTATGCTGTTACTGAAGTGTGTCTTTTGTACAGTTCTGAATGTCTTATCTGTGTCATTCACTTTACCTTCACATACTCTGAATCCCTATTACTCTGTTCCCACTTAAAGTTGTTATGCTAAAGTTCAGAGGGGTTACTCACCTTTCCAAGGTTATATACTAAATGACCCTGGCAGTCCAATGGTGTAGTCTATAATTTTAACTGGCATGTCATACAGTGAACCTACTTGAGTTAGTGAACTGAGCCAAGATTGGGGAGAGGAGATGACTCTTGGAATAGGACAGAACATTTTCCAGAAGGAAAAGGAGGAAATTGGTATTCATTGACAGTGCCCAGGTTGAGTGCCAAGTCCTGAGCCCCATGCATTCTCATCCATTATCCTCACAACCAAGGTAGACTTCATTTTTACATATGGGAAAGGAAGGTTCAAGAGAGGTCAGGCATCCTACCCAAGGCCATTCAACTAATACAACATTGTCCTGCTTAGGATAAGGGTCTCTCATTCCTGGAACTTAAGCATTTCTGACCCTGCCCATCAAATGGCCTCCCTTTTATTTCATTATTTATTATATGTTGCCCTAAAAATGAAAGTGAAAATCCCCAACTGTGATAGACCGTAATAAAAATTGCATTTGTTATAGGGGGAGGGGATGACTAGCTGTCAGCACACATGCATTGTTCTTCAAATTACCTATTTTCTGGAGGTAAGGAAGAGAAATAGGTCCTTTTCTGTCATGCATGCTGGATTGGCATGAGCACACAATAATCTCATTAAATAAAAAAAAAAAAAACTGCACTAAGCAGGATTCTAAAAAGCTCTACCCAGGAAAGAACGAGGGGATCCTTGCGATTGATAGAAGCAGGGTCAGGAATTGCCATTATTACTCCCCCCTCAGGGAGTTAGCTTTCCCCCTGGGGCTAACCCCACTCTTAGGGATACCCAGAGAGCTGTTCTTATAAGACACCAGGAGAATAACTAGGCTCCCATTCCACCAATACTCTATTTTATACTTTAAATTCTGAGTGTGTAAACTCTATATGATGGCTTCTTCATTCACTTAACAAATAGTCATTTATCTGTTATGGTCTGGGCTCTAGGAAAGGGTGAGGAACAGAACAGATAAGGCCCCTGGTATCACAGAGTTTATGTTTTAGTAAAGGGGTACAGAATTCCTTTAGAAAGGATAAACATGTAAGTGAATACATTTCAGATAATGAGAATTGCTATAAAGAAGATAAAACAGTGTAACATGGAGACATAGGTGGGGAGGGAATGATTATTTGCACCATTTTCTATGTTTTCCTGTCTATCCATCTGTCTATCCACATCTATCTGTCCATCCACCATCTACATCATTCATATATCCACTCATCCACATACCAATCTATCTGCACTTACAGATACACATACACTTATATATTCTTTCTAGGTCTCTTCCCCCCATCTCCCCTTAATTCTGCAGCAGATAATTTTTGACACTCAGGCACTGCCCTCAGCACAGTTTGTCTCCTTTGCTGAAGCAGGAGCTCCCCAGTGTTTGGTAGCCATGATTCTTCCCTATGTCCTCTGTATTGAACACACTTGAGCATAAGGCAGACACCACAAATGTTTGTCAACTTACCAAGTTAAAGGATTATCCCCACTCTATTTTTACACACATCCAGTTACAGAGGTGTAATATAAGCCACGGAACAGCCTCCCTACCTTAGAATCACTGTACCTTAGCAAAGAGGATTGTCATTCAGTGAAAATCAGAGTACAC